AAATGACAAAATACTCATTTCATATGGGTCGACAAATTTTTACCATATTTTATATTCTTTTTAGATTTTGTGGCACTTCTTCTTGCTCGTTTCTTCTCTACATCCACGACTTTGTTAATTTAGGATCTGTTTAGTGCATCTTGAATAGTTTGTGTAGTTTTGATACTATCCAACTGAGTTACAAAAGATTATGATTCTGCTCAAGTTGATAAGAAACGTTGTTTTGACATGAGGTAACACATTATTCTTAATTATTTTTATGGGGAAGCTATTCTCACATGGTATGTCAATTCTTTTATGAGTCAATTTTCTATAGAAAAAATAATTTCAAGTCAACGAATTTACTATGTGCTGAACGAATGCAATGAGTAGGTTTTTTTTTTCCTTCTTCTTCTAGGTTAGTGATATTGCTTATTTCATTAAATTAAATGACATTACATCGTCAATTTATAAATTAATTTTAATATTTTGTTACATTAAGGACTTATTTGTGTTAGGATTTATATTCTAAAGCCTTATAATATATCAAGGAAATAATTTGATTATTTTTATGTACAATTTGAATTATACATTCTATGAAAATTTAAGGTTATTAATGTAATCTTGAACGGTATATAGTTGACGTATGAAAGAATTATGTTCAAGCAGTAACCTATAAGGCCTACAATTTATGGATGAAATTAGGTGTCTTATCTTGATAATGCTATTAATACGGCCCAATTTGTAAAAATTACAAATAATTTTTATCATAATCGTTCATGCGGAGTGAGAACATGTGAATTGATGTATTATAAATTTGTATAAAATTAGACAACAATGTGTCTTGTAGTTTCCTATCAAGACTAAGAAATTCAAGCCAACATCACTAGAGTGATCATTATACATTTATTTAGTCTTAATCTTGCATTATGTTATGAACTCATGTCTATGGAGTGTGTTATTTTATTGAATTGTGAATTTAATTATTAGTTAATAAAGACATAAAAATAAACATAAAATAAGAAATTTAAAAGTAGTTGAGACTGAGTTATTTAATAAAGACATAAAAATAAACCTAAAATAAGAAATTTAAAAGTAGTTGAGACCCAGGTATTAAAACTAGTCTATATTAAGACACATACAAACATTAAAACAAAAATAAATCATTATCCTTCATAGCCCAATTTATATATAGTATGGTATAAATATTATAGATTATAGATTCTTTTTTCACTCTTCTTTGTAAGGGTTGTTTTTGAAGCCGTAAAAAAAAGTGTTGTAGCGATTTGATAATGGATTCGAAGGCGTGGAAAGAGTATCGATTGAGATTTCTAGTCAAGTATCGATTGACTCTCACCTATTTAATTGTTGTAATTAATTTTTGTTATCATTAATTGTATGAAATTAATTGCTTGAATTTATTGCGAGTATTAGTTGCTATGATGTCTAATTTATTGTTTAATTTGAAATAAATTTTTAACTTTTTATAGTACAACATGTGGGGCACGATCACTTGATTGGAGATATATGCCCCACTCCCGTCAGATAAAACTAATTATCTGTACAAATGTATTAATTTGATTAACTGAAATAAAAAGTTGATAAAATTTAATTAAACATTATTCACCATTCTACGGTTGACCAACCTATTCCATCAAAGAATATTGCAACAGCTTTCAAAAATTCTGAACTTGGTCAATTAAAACCTTGCATTAAAATTCCGAGCTTTTCATTACATTTAATATTATTTTTAACTAGACAGAGACATGCTAATGTACATCTCACTTATTGATTGACGGATTTGAATTTTTCTGATGAACGAATTAAAATTTATGAGTCGTCTTCATATGTTTAAATAATTTTAACAAAAATAATAATTTACCAATTTATTAATTTTCTTAACAAATTTTTAATAGCAAGACCCAATTGTGAATTCTTTTTATACATTATTTGTAAAATTAAGAATTAAAAAAAATTATCATAAACAGTGACTATGGTTTTTTTTAATACTTATAAAGAAGTTTTAAAGTATGATTTTCTCTGGAAATATCTGACAACTCGTATGGTTGAAAAAGTATAATTTCAAATCAAAATTTCATAATAGGAACATAGCAACTAAAAACCTAATTAAGCAAAAACAAATAAATAAAAAGTAAAACATAAATTTAAATAGCAAAAAGGCAAATATTCACAATGTTTATTTATTTATTGCAAGAACAAAATATATACCTATCCTTTTTTCTTATTATTATTTTTTTCTTACAACAGACTACATATCAAAAATAACATCAGGACATGATACCTAATCTCACTCAAACAGAAGAAGCCACATATATAATTAATTTACAAAGTGAAGAGGAGAAAGAGAGAAAATTCAAGAATTTTTCATCTTCACAAATCTTACAAACGTCACCAAAGACAGAAGATTCTTCTTCACAGACAAATCTCAACTACCATATACGAGTCTTGGCCCCAACCTGAAAAACATAACACAAAGATGTCAACAAAGTACAAACTATCTTTCCCAATTTGAAAGAGGAAACTGGTTGAGAAGAACGTAAAAGAAAGAATCAAGAAGGGAAAAAGAAAAACTAATCAAATTAACATGATTTGTATCTTCATTTGAGGCTAGACTCAAGTTTTGCAGGACACCCAGATTTTACAGGGGTGGAATCAGATTTTTGTGCAGTTCTTTTATGAGATACAGATTGAGGGAAATCTTGTTTTCTTTTATTTTTATTTTTGGTTTTTGTCCAACTCGAAATCCGAATTGGGGACTACTTTTTGGCCTATATATGAGAAGAATGGTGAAAAGAGGAAGAGGGAACCACCTCAGGAAACAAATAGTTGCAGTTGCAGAGAAGAACTAATTGCAGAAAGAGAAGAAGAAGAAGAAGAATAAAGAATCCCAATAAAGTGGAATTGCATCACAGACTGGTAAGTCTACCCCCTCGGAGAAAAACTCTTTTCAATGAGAAAAGATGTTTTTGCACTTGTTCGACCGCAAGGTCCCAAAATGATGAGCTTATGTGATTGTGACCGAGAGGTAGGCCTAAGTAAGAAGAGAGAAACTAACCTACCTCGCACCCAACCAAAGAAGCCCAGGTGCCCACCTTGGACCGGTCACAATTGATACCTAGGGGGGAACACTCCTGTTAATCTTCAGACTGGAAGTCAACTAAAAAGGCCAGAATTCGGTTGAGATTAACAAAAGACTCATTCCTACAACAGAAGAAAATCATGTCATCAACGAATTGGAGGCAGAGAAGAACTAACCTATCCTTCACCATCAGAAAACCTTCTAGAACGTTGCCCTCCACTCCTCTTGAGACCACTCTACATATGTCGTCTACTACCAGCAGGAAAAGGAAAGGGCAGAGGGGTCATGTCAAACCTCTCGAAGCAAGGATACTGCCTCTCAGCTTTCCATCAACCAAGATAGAATACTAACTGTCATAATGCCACTCCAAATCCACGATCTCCATTTATACTCAACCCCCTTCTTTTGGAGGACTATGTCCGGGAAATCTCAATCCACATGACCATAAGCCTTCTCAAAATAAATGTTTTATTTTTTTGTTTTGTTTGATAATTGGGGTCGGAGCTTTTTCCCCTATACCTAGGGGCACCCACGCTTGCTCCAAGGTTCGGACCTAAAAGACATGGATTTTTGGTATTAAGCTCAACAGAAGGTTTGAACTTGAGACCTCTAAGTCGGTATGACCAAGAGACCCAAGCCCTTGCCAATTGGGGTGTCCCTGAGGCTTCTCAAAATCAATGTTAAAGATAACATTCTCCCACTTATGACTTTTATAATCCTCAATGATCTCATTAGCTACGAGGGTTTGGTCCAAGATCTGTCTACCATATATAACAACACCTTGGGCATCTGAGATCATACAAGGGAGAACTTTTCTTCACCTTTCAGCCAAAACCTTGGCAAGGATTTTATAAACACTTGTAACTAGGCTGATAGGCCTAAATTCCTTGACCCAGTCCTTTATAGAGATTAGACACACAAAGGTTTCATCCAAAGAAAAATCCAATGTCCCTCGTAAAACTCACAAAAGACTCTCTAAAGATTGTCCTTGATGCAATTCCACTTATCCTGAGAAAAGGCCAAAGAAAGCCATCGGAGCCCTAGGGCTTTATTCATATCAAGCCAAAACACCACCCTTAGTTCTTCTAGGGAGGAAGGAGCTTCCAAATCCATTTTGTCCCTCTTGGATAGGGCTCTATTTATGACCTTCTAGAAAAGGCTTAGGGATACTGTCGAGGCATAAAGAGATGAGAAAAAGGACACTTTCTCATCCTCTACCTCCTTATCCCCACTTAGAGTCTCACCTTCAGCGTTTTCCAGAAAGCAATGGCGTTTCTACTCCTCGCACTCAAGACTATGTGAAAAAAGAAAGTTACACTCTTCTTATTTGGTGTATTTAACCTTAGCTTTCTCTCTCTAGCTCAATCCCCCTCTTTGGCCCATTTAGCAACAGCGATTATTATTTTTTTCTTGTACATTAAAATTTTCGGTCATATTTTTAGGCTTATAATTTGCTCTCTTAAGCATTACCTGTAAATTGTAATATGTAATAACTTTGTTCACAATAATGGAATTAACATATCTTCAATTTTCCAAAAATATTTCAGGAGATAAAGATATCAGCAAAAGTCCATCAAAGAAATTTAGTGCAAATATATCAGAACTATGGCCATCATCAACAATGAATAGATGGTAATGTAAAACAATAATTCATACCTTAGAATAGGAAGAGGTCAAGAAAACCTGTGAAAAAGGATCCTTTAGCTGTCAAATATCTTGGAGTTTGTAATTTTACCAGGAAGTTCCATTATGCTCTTTTGTTTCCTACACTGATGAAACAGTTCTTGACCTTTCTAACCCCACAACACAACACCACCATTCAATATTTACTGAAGATTAAATATTTACTGAAGGTTAAAAATCCTTCTAGAGCACATGAATACGAAAAGGTAGCAAACCAGAATCCTACTTCTATGATTGATTAGGACGGTTGATCCATGCTTTCGGCATTAAATGTTCCAGAGGTGATAGCACAATTGTAGGATCATATGATGCTGGCTGAATCAATTATCAACTTTTATATCCTCCTTCTTGTCTCCTAGGTGGAGTTTTTCATCAATCACATGAATATCTTGAACATCTATTTCCATATCAAGTTCGGAACTTCCTAAACTGCGAACCACATGAGCTGCCTTAGTAGCGAAATGCTCACATACTAAGCTATTATCCTTCAGTTCATTGTCTTCATTAGTCCAGGTAGTTTGCTCAAGCAAGCCGCCTTCATTAAAATGGCATTGGGAGTTATAACTTTTAGTTTCATTCAACTTTGCTTTCCTTGAAAGAGAAATAGCATTCTCAATTTGCTGAACAATGGGTGGATCTCCATTTGAGTAATGGGTAGTGGCAGACTGTTCTTTATGGTCATCCAATATAAAATCCCAATTTCTTATTGATTGTTCCTCTTCTGAAAAATCCATCTCCCTATATGCTTCAATTTCCTTCTCCAGTACGTGATAATCTATTTCCCTCTTGACAAGGATCTCTCTAAGTAGATTCATCTCTTCTTCATCGTAAGCAAATTTTTCTTCTATTACCCTCTGATATTGTCTTGCTTCCATTTCAACTGATGCCTTCTCATTTTGTAAACGTATTATCATGGCTATTGCTTCGTCAGCAGCAGTAGCAGCAGCTGCTCTCTCCTCCTCCAGTTCCATATACAGAGATGCCCGAGCAGCTTTCTCTTCTTCAAGCGCTTCCTCCAACAATCCAATAGAGCTTGCTTCATTTCTGATAATGCCTCTCTCTTCGGCATTGCTGGTATCTTGTCCTATAGTTGAAGAACCTTTATCTATATAATTATTTTCGCCAACCGAGCCACTTGATTCGGAACCTTGCCAGGTTCTTTCGCTCAAGTGAATGTGATTTGATTCATTAATAACATCTGAAATAGCAAGGACACAGAAACATGAGCATGGTAATAACGAAATTTTGATGTAAAACCCCTCCCTTGACCCGCCTGTAACAAAATAAAAACAAAGCAGACAGGGATTCGCATTTAAATAAGAACAACTTCCAAAAAATTTAACGTTTATGCATATTAGCTAATGTTGGTAACTTTTTTGATTAGCCGGTTAGTTCTTCTTTGCTAGCACAACTACCTCTCTATATGAAGATGAACAGTGAACTTGTATCATAGTCATAACAATTAAGGGAAAAAGACATCAGACAATGTATCTTCCGACTTACTTCGATAAATGTTTTTATCAGAGCTGTAATACAAACAAAAATTCTTTGATAGGCTGGCATCAAATCAGTTAGCAACAGTTCTACTAAACTTCAAAGAAATGTTCATAACCAGGAAAACAAATAGACAAATATATCACATCCCCATGCAACAGAACCTAAGAAGCACGGRCGCGGGTGACACGTCCATGTCGGACACTCCCACACTTATTGAACATGTATCGGACACTTGATAGATTTGTGTCACAAACTAAGTGAAAATGCATTCAACACTTATTAGGCACACACATCGAACCCTTGCTAAGCATAAGCCATAAGACATAGATATAGGTCAGAATAAAAAATAATAAATCTTGGAAGTAAATTACATCATACAGACTCAACATACAAATGCGAATTTCCTTCCAGAAAGTATTTATATTTGATTAAACGTTTCTTTGCCGTGTCCGTATGTCCGTATATCCGTAAAAAGAGAAGCTTATATCATACAAGTCATAACATATAGAGAAAAATAAATAATTGACGAAATATAAAGAAAAGGGGAAAACAGAGGAGAGTGATAGGATAAGATTACATACGCACCGTGAATAAATTCATCTCTCTCAACCAACGCCACGGATTCCCTTTCCTTCCTAGCTTCATTGCTGTCACAGATTCCCCTGGCCAATCTCCCACATTCAACAGCAGCTCTCCTCCCACGCCGGATTTTAGTCCTGGGCCTCTGGTACATAACCCTCTTGCCCTTTCTATCATAGTCGCCATCTCTATCAGCGAGATTCTGCTGCGATTGAGGAACCCCCTTGGTCTGAAGCTTCCTATTGGAGTTACCAATTTGGTCGTCGACCAAAAGCAAATCGAAAGGAAACCTGGTCTTGACGAAGTGGAGGACGGAAGAGATCTTCCTCTTGGGCCAATTGAAGAGCAGTCTGCGGAAGCATAGATTAGCGTTCTGACGGCCGTAGAACCCACTGCAGGGGCAAGGCAGGAACAATCCAATCATCTTGAGAATCTTGCAGGGGATGAAGGCAGTGGCGGATATGCAGAGGAGAACATAAACGAGAGCAAGATCGAGAAAGGCTCCGAGTAATCCGGAGAGGGTCCATGGATGGATCTCGTGGAGTGACATAGAGGAATGGGCGATTGGGGCGAGGAAAGAGAGGGGAAGATGGGAGTTGAGAGAGATGAAGCGAGTCAAATCACAGATTCACAGGGGGCGAGGAGGAGGAAGAAGAAGAGAAGATTGTGGAGAAGTAAAAAGGAAGAAGACAAGGATGAAAGCGTTTTGCGGAGGGTTATAACTTCTGAGCTTCGTTAGTTAAATGATATGAACGACACATAGCGCTACTCATTAGCTGCCACCGTGCTCCCGCCGCGCCGTTTTCACTCTTCCAAAATTGATAATCACTAATTTTTTTTCTTTTTTGAATCGTGAATCATGACAATTATATCATAATATTTAGGCTCAATTTTCAAAAATAAATAAATACTTTTGGAGGTTGCCATTTGTTCAAAAATATTTATATATATCCAAGCCATAATTCTAAATATCTATAGACACGTCAACATTTCATATCGATATTTCTATTATAGTAAAAAAATCATCAAAATACGAAAAATATCAATAAAATGTCACTAATATATACATAATATTAATATAATTATTTTTTAACTTATTTATAAATATTAAAATATTTATTTGTTAATTTAAATATTTTTTTACAATTTTTTAATTTCTATAACTTTTACAGAAATATTCATCGACAGCGACATTTTATCGGTATTTACATGAATTTGAGATCTCAATATTTCTATCAACATCGACATAAAACCTTGGTTGAAGCACAATTTTGGAGTCAATCGAATTGGAGGGTTCTAATGAACTGGATGGATAGTAAACGGATGAAGAACGAGATCTTGATGTGGAAAGATTCAGGGAACCCTGCACAGATAGATTTAAATATGCCATTAGTAAAAAAATACCATCAAAATGTTTTAATGGGTTGGCTTTCTGAATCCAACAAATCCGTAATTGTTGTAAAAGTTATAAAAATTAAAATTAGGGTTAGGAGAGATAAAAAGAAATGTGAGGTTATAAAATTTGATAAAATATTTATATAAATTTATGTAATTATTATATATTAAAATATTAATGGGATGGGACGGGGTGGAATACCCTTTCCTGTCCCCGTCGGGAACCCAATTTAACTCCGTACCCGATCATACTAAGGATTTTCCTAACCCGATTGGGGCAGGTGTCTGTGGAGATCGATACACATATATTTTTTTTTTTTACCATTCCTAGCTGCACTCACCAAACCAACATGCATCCCTGCAAGTTGAGCCATGCAAGTGTTGCACTTGACAGTGCACGTATTGGTGCACTAAAACCCGAGCTAGCTTGCGCGACGCCATGGGCCAAGCTCAATTCACTTCCTCGAGTTTCGCGCTGTTGAAGTTCAAGCAACATCTTTGAGAAGGAATCCACGCCCATGCTATGGGCGGTTCGCCTTGAACCCATAGTGGGCGGCCTTCAGATAAGGGCAGACTTGGGTTCTTCCCGTTTCTCCCAACACTATTTTTAACCTTTTATAAACATGTTAAAAAATACTCCTCGAGCAAACATCCACTTATATTTTGGACGGAGGGTTGGCATGAAAATTAATGTGGAAGTTTGACTCGAGTCTACCTAATTTTGCTTTAAAAGTCTTTTTTCTCTCGTTGTCAATAGAGTTTGCTTGTCTATTGGGGCCTAGTGAAATTGAATTCTTCATTGGACCTAGTGAAATTAAATTCTCCATTACCAATGGCTAGATGCTAATACCATGTGCATGTTAACTATAGTTTCGCAATGACATCTACCAAACCTATATATCTCTTTTAACATGATGAATTTTTCTACATTTTCTCTATTTTCATATTTGATTCAAGCAAGCTTCTATGTTAATTGTATTGTTTTAGATTTTATCACGTTAATTTTCGTTCAAAATACAAATGAATTGTTTGCTTAAAGGATATTTCTAAAATGTTTATGAAAGATAGTATTGAAACAATCGGAAAGATAGGGGTATTTTTGAAACAAATTAAAGAATAAAGTTGACATAATATTTACATGCCTCCTTATRCGTGCAATGCACGTGTCATTTTTAATTCCCTTTTGACTTTATAAAATATATATGATGGTTTGATGTATTTAAATAAACATCACTTACTAAAGTATCTTTAAAGTTAAATTAGCATATGATAGCTTAAAAAAAATTAGCATATGATGGCAAAGGTTGTGAAAGGAGGGATTATAAGAAGTAAATTCCATATGTCCCCTTTTTTTGAAAGCAAGTAAATATATCTTTCGGTGGTTTAGTTGAAGTTACAATATACCTTTGGTGGGGAGCTAGCACTTTCTTACTCCCTATTTAATAACTATTTTATTTTTTATTTTTTTAATCGAACTTATAAACATTAATTTTACCCTGTAATTCTTTATTTTGTATCTACATTTTAAAAATATTAACTTAAATCTGATTTTTCATGGCTATATATATATATATATATATATATATATATATATAATATGTCTTGGAGAAAAACAAAACCTTGTATAATTTTTCTCTCTCTCTATGAGTATAAATAAAAAGATAATAAGATTCCTTTGACATTGCCACCAAAAATAAAGTGATCTCAATGGTCAAAAGTAGAAAGATATGCAATTTGTGCATCATAAGCTTCCTTAAGCTGTGCCAATACTTGTGCCATATTAGGCCTTTGAGAAGCATCTCTCTCAACACACCTTATAGCAATGAGAGCTGTCTTTTTCATGCTTTCCACATCAAACATTCCCCTCATGCTCTCATCAACTATCTCAAATGCTCCTGCCTGCAAGTATGGTTTTGCCTGCATTGAAAACATATGATTCATGAAATATGAAAGATTTTGTTTTAATTTAACTTCATTTCGTAAGTGATTCTAATTAGTTTATGTTTCGTACTTTTAATAGCTTCAATTTGTCGATGATGAAGAATGATTTGGGCACACCGATGTTCCAGTTAGTTTTTCGAATTTCGTTAGGTTTAACTACTTATTTACCACAAAGTATATAATATTGAGATTCAAAAATTAAAGTATATATAAAGACGATGACACTTTGATGCTATTGATCAAGGTTAACTTAACCAAGTTTGGTTCCCGGATGTTTTGGGATTTACGTCTCATATGTACTTCTCGACCTCTAAAAAATATACTTAATAGATTCTTAAATTTTCAATGTTGTGTCAAGTAGGTTCTTAAATATTAAATTATAAATAATTCTCATAAACTTCCAATAAAGAAAAATTTGTGTTCAAATAGGTGTCTTTGAACTTTAATTAAGAAACGTCAAGAGATATATGAGACACAAATTGAAAGTTCAAGGACCTATTCGATACATTTGAATATTCAGGGGTCTATTAGCAATAAAACCTTCGAAATTCAATGAACCAAACTTGCAATTTAACCAATATAAATATGAAAGACGTGATTAAAACTTGATGTAATTTATTATTTAAATTATAGACATATAAAAGAAGTAAAGATGAATAACTTATGATTTAAATCTAGTTAAACTCTAATTTAAAATTTTTGTAAAGATTATATAAGAAAACCATAATTTAGAAAGTAAAATTAGCTATATTTTTGGTTAAAAAGTTATCTTTAATCAAACAAGTTTTCTGTTGGCAGAGAGAAGTAAAAGAAAGCATCAAATTACCCATAACACCAAGTTGAATGAATCTGGAGTTCCAGTGTGACTCAGAGGTTCTCGTCCACAAATCAGCTCTAATAGAACAACTCCAAAGCTATACACGTCACTCTTTTCAGTTAGCTGTTGAGTCGAGTAATACCTGGACTTATTTTCTAAGTTAGAAAAAAAATTTATAGTAATACACAAGAAAGGTTCAAAATACTTTTGGTCCATTTATTTTAATTGAAATCACGACTTAGTCTCGATTTTTGTATTAAAAGTTTACTTTTTAAAAGTATAAGAATCAAAATAGATGTTTTGAAAGTATGAATACAGGATTAAAATAGACAATTTAAAAGTATACGGATCTAAATGAATCAAAATCGAAAGTATGGATCGAAATAGAACTTACTCGGGATCCAAATAACCAGCAGTGCCCTTGACGAGAGTAGTGACATGGGTTGCATCAGGGTGTGGTATTTGCTTGGATAGGCCAAAGTCACAAACTTTTCCATTCATTTCCATATCCAAAAGGATGTTACTACACTTCACATCACGGTGGATTATTCTTGGTTCACTTCCGTTGTGTAAATAGTCCAATCCTTCAACCGAAAAATTAAAACCGTCATACAAAATTACGAAACTAAGTATTTGTTTGATAACGATTTTGTTTTTCATTTTAAAGAGATTAGTATTAAACGCTAAACACATTTATTTTCTAAAATCGTAAAAACAATATTGTTCGTGAAGTACCAAACTCTTCCATGTCATTGAAACAAAATGTCGTGTTATTATGAAGTTCATTTTCTACATATCGATCTAATAATAATTTGTGACATTGAATTTATGTTATTCTCGTTTTTACGATATGAAGTTTTAATCAAAGCAAAAAGACGGTTAATAATGAACAAAACTTTTAAAAGCATGGAAATTTAATTGAAACAAAGGTTAAAACATAGTTATCCTAAAATTATAAGAACCTTTTGCTGCATCAACAGCAACTTTGAGTCTCCTAATCCAGCTCAGTGAAACACTTTTTCTGTTCATGCCTGAAAAAGAGAAATGCAAGAAGAATTGACCATCAAAGTAGAACAATATATTATGGTCAACAACGTTAATTTCTTACATGAATTGCAACATATAATATGTGTATTTTAATTACCATAGATGTGGTCAGCCAAGGATCCACCAGCTAAATACTCGTAAACAAGTATTTGTCGTTTCGATTCGTTACAAAATCCTTCCAAACAAACAAGATTCTGATGACGAATTTGAGACAACAGATGAACCTATAGAACAAACTTTCGGTAAAATTGTCATATCACTATATTAAAAATTTTAAAAAAGATTGATAGGTTAGGATAAATTTAATGTTTTATGTACGTTGGTAGCACTCTAGGTAAACTATTAATATGAGACGTGGAGAAAATATTATTTTTTATCATACTATTAGTTTTAAATGACGACTAGAGACCAAAAAACTTAAGCAAATATATGTTTGAAATATTCTCAACACTCCATCTCACAAATGACCATAAACGACCTCATATATTAGTAGGAGACTCGAGACATGAACTAGTAACATGAGATGAGAAGAAGAAATAAGATTCAATTTTTTTTATGATATTATAATAAAGGTTTAATTACTATTTTCGTTAATGTATTTTTGGCTTTGGTTCATTTTGGTATCTGGACTTTCGAAATATTTATTTTAGTCTCCTTATTTTCAACTTTGGTTCATTTTAGTCATTTGTATTTTCAAAATGTATATTTTGGTCTCTGTATTTTTAAAAACGAAATAATTTTGGTTGATATTTGTAAAATTTTATATACAATGAAAATCCTTTAATATAAATTTATAGCTAAATTTCAAGAAATTTAATGAGTGAAGTGTGATGTTAAAAATATGGTAAAAAACAATGAGATAAAAATGAAAATGACAAAATGGTCACCTCTTTACAGTACAAGAAACACAATGGGTATTTTAAAAATACATGAACTAAAATAAACAAAAATTTGGAGGACATAGATAAAAAATGAACTTTTTAAAAGTACATGAACAAAAATAATATTTAAACCTATAATAAATAACTACTGAACTAAAACATTTAAGCAAAATTAAGTATATGTGTTAGACTAGATTCTTTTCAACACATATTGATGTTTAACACTCTCCCTCCCCCATGGATTTGGATGTTAGCACGAGACTGAACACGAAAACTATTAATATGAAATTAAACATCGCGGGATTTGACCTTAAACTTTTGTACCATATTGCAGTACGACGAGACTCGAGAACGTACAGAAGCTGATAGATTAAGGTAAAGTTAATCCTTACCTCGTTGATAAAGGAATCCGCTCCAAGTTGGGTTTTGTCAAACCTTACTTTGACAGCCACAAGTTTTCCCTGGGGAAGCTTTCCAAGATAGACAGATCCAAAGCTTCCTCTGCCTATCACCTCCTTGAAGTTGTTTGTAGCTGCCTTTATCTCCTTGTAGGAGAACACTTTTGCAGAGTTCCAGTTCCTCAGCTCCATGGCTGCCTCTACAACAAGTTCCCAAAACTTAATCCCCACAAGTTCTTAAAATTTTTTAAAGTAAAATTTAAGTATTATTTCTAATTTCAAATGGGTTAAATTATATATAAGTTTGGTCTTCAAAGTTGAATCTTAGCTAACTTAGTCTCTCTTCATAAAAAGTTTCAAATAGCTGGTTCGTGAACTTTTGTAAGTGGTGTCTAATGTAATTTATATAGTTTAGAAAATTATAAAAAGTACTGTTCGAACTTTCAATTTTGTATGACAAAGACATCGTCTATCGTTAACTCTATTTGTTGAGGATCATGAATAGACCACCACTCAACCCAAAAGCTTAAACGGATGGATTGGATAAATTTAATTCATATATTGGATATCTAACTAACACTATTAGTTTAACAATTAACTGTATTTGTAATTATAAATCGCATGGTGGGTTGGTTTTAAGCAGTTCAAAATTAAGAATATTTGGTAGCACATAATTATATCGCAAAGTTCATGGACCTAGATGGCGATACGCAATAACTTTGAAAGTTTATAGATCAAACCTATAATTTAACCTTTGAAAGAGAAAACAGAAAACAAAAAACAAGAAGTAAAAAAACTAGAAACAAGAAATAGAAACGCAGGACTATAAACGAGCTTGAGCTTGAAGTTTTCACTTACTTGTTGAGTATGTGAGCTCAGTTGTGTGATGAGAATGTTTCCTCATGTAAAGAAGAAGTGAGAGAGAGAGAGTGATAAGAACTAGCAGAGTTGCTGCAACTGCACTAACGATGATTGTGAATGGCATATGATTGTTGTTGTTATGGCTGCTAATTTCTTTCTTCTCAGGAACCACTGTGACTTGTGGTGTTTCAATGGCTGGGTTTGATGAAACATCATTGCATGTCATTGTGGAGAAAGATAGGCATAGGTTTCCTGATGTTCTGCAACAGAAACCGAACATTCTGACATGATCGTAACGTTTAAATCTAGTTTTGGTTTCTAAACTTTTATGGGTCAATTTCGACTTTCAAGTTTAGTCATTTTGCATGTGGAATTCAACCAAACTTGAATCACTAAAAATCCTAAATGTTGATGATAATCAATTTCGTTTTTGTGTTTTTGTTCTTGAAAATAATGCAGGTTTTTTCATAACTCTTTTTACTTGACTTATATTTCGAAACGGTTTTTAAAAACTATATAACAAAATAAAGAAGTAAAAATAGTGTTTCTAAACTTAATCGTACCTGATTTCAAGATTTCCTTTGTTCAAAGATAATGGGAGAGTGCCTTCTAGTCTATTGTTCTCCAAATTCCTGAAGATTGAAAGCAAAAGGATTTATTAATGAGTTTAAGATGATTTTTTTCTGAGTGTTGTCAAATAAATGTTTCTTCTAAAAGTACTTTTTAAGTGCTATTAAAATTATTAAAAATCACCTTAATTTGTCATTGAAAATTGTAAGAATGTTCACGAACATTTTAAAAGTACACGAACGCTACTTTCAAGAGTAATTTCAAACGCACATTTGTGACTTACAATAGGTGAAGATCTTCAAGCTCTCCCAAGCTGTCCGGAACAATTCCCTGTAGACTGTTGTTCTGCAAGTCCCTTCATATTGGAATTAATATAATATATATGAAGTTATGAATCACTCAGTTTAAGAATCAACTACAATATATAATTCTTCACCATAAAAACAGAACACTGGGTTCCATTTTTAAGGTTACAATCAATGATTGTTGGAAACATGATGTATTGTCTAAAAAAGATATCTTACAGAATTTTCAGGTTGCTTAGGTTGTCCAAATCCGACCCAAAGGATGTTAGCTTGTTGAAACTCAGGTTCCTCGAGAGAAAGAGAGAGATAATTTAGTTAAGTTTTTACGAATTTCTATATATGTGGATGTCTAAAAAAATGAAAACTTTATTTTCTAAAATAGATAACACGTGATTTATGCTAGTAGATTCTTATAAACTGGAGTTTTTTGTCTGGGTTGAGCAAAACTTTAACCATCGAAGGGCTCGAACTTGAGAATTTAAGATAGGTGGTACCCTAAAGTCCCAAGTCCTAACCACGTGCCATCTCGAAGACAATCTAAAAGAATTCATATTACAAGATGAGAGAGAGAGAGTACAAGTTTTCAAGATGAGTGAGGCTGCCCAAATTTACTATTTCCCCGGAAAGTGAAGTGTTGTGCAAATCCCTGAAGCGAGACCACAGTAGTAACATGGGATTATATGAGTAAGTTGAATAATATGCACAATTAATGGAATAATAATGATAAAAATCAAAATTGGCAGAAAATTGTAGAATAAAGGATGATCTCAAGCCTACACCGACCTAATGACGGTAATTCTCAAATACTGTAGAACAGAATTTCATAGAAGCAAAAATACGACGACTATATGCTTTTTAGATCAGAAATTCCGTAATATAAAGTTTTAGTAAATTTGTCATAAATGATTCATTTCTCTAGAACTAAAGTGATTTAAAATCATGAATTTGTGAACAGTGAAAAAATAAATACGAAGAGTTGTTTTGAAGAGTTTACAATATTTTGAGATCGAGAATGTCGCCAAATATCGGACCGATGGACCTCAAGTTGATGTTGGAAAGCTCCCTAAGAAAAAAAGGTCTCATTATAAGTATATGTTGAGATGGAAAAAGGTAAAAGGAGGGAGATTTTTTAAAAAGATCAACGTACAGAGATGTAACAAGGTTGCCTTCACATCCAACATGATCCCAAGTTTTTGGAGAGCATGGATCATCTTCCCATCCCAAATCCAAACCAGTAGATTGGTGAATCACTTGAAGGGCTGAAACTGCAAGAGATTTTTCAAGGGTTATGTCGATTGTCGAATTTTCAAATTGAAGACTCTCCCGTTTATAACTGCTTCTCTATGGTACCAGATGCGGTGTCAAATTCTAGCAACATGCGAATTGGTTAATAAAATTTTGCAACTTGAGATGAAAAAGGAGAATTCGTTCGGTATCGTACATAGTTTTGTTGAGTGAGTTAATTTAAACTTTAACTTTAAATTTTTTTTAATTTTTTTGAATTGGAAGTTGATGTTTAGTAGATGATAGAAATTAATACATTTCTCAGTTCTCAAACTAAACTAGCTGCGGAATAAAACTTAAAACCAACTACAAAATTCCCTTAACCAAGCCACAATAATAACACACAACAAGTTCAATGAAAAACAAACTTGACTCACCTGTGGTTGATGAAGCTTCCAAAGGAACATGAAGAATTTGATAGAGCTCAATGGCATTGACTTGAGGGTAGAATTTAACAGTCTTGAGTGTGATATTAAAGAAGCCCTTGATTTGGTGTTGAATGACATACAAAGCCCTCATCTCTCCAATTTCCACAGTGTAGTTTGATTCTATAACTTTCCCATTGACCAAAACATCAAATGAAGGATGAACAGCAAGAATCCCACCAAAATAAAGAATCACAAAGTAATCTCCTTCTTCTTTTTCAACTGGGAGGTTGTAGCTCAGTTCATCTCTTCTCGCCAAAACCCTGGCTGTTTCAACCACTGCAGCTGGTGGAGCTTCCTTCACTCCCATGGAATCAAAGTTTGCCTCAACTTTGAACTCTGATGACACATGGAATGGCTTGAAGTTGCTGTCTGGGTCCCAGATCCGATCGTATGGATCGCTCGGGTACCTGTTTTCGACACACATGCATCAAAGAAGATGATCGAGATAAGCAAATTGTAACAGTTCTTAGAACAGCTCAATATATAAAACTGTGTTTGGTAATGAATTTTTATTTTGACTTATGTTTTTGTTGGAACATTTGGAGGATTTTTCTAAATATGATTCAACATGTATTTTGTGTTAAAAAAGAAAGATTTAAATCTTATTTTCATCCTTGCTGGTTTTATATCTTGATTCTTGATTCAATTTACTTTCATGTTCAATCAAAAATTCATCTTAGGTCCTATGGTTCATTTCATATAAATGGTTTATTAATAGTTATGGTAATTAGGTAGGCATGTTTTTTTCCAATCACATCTCTACCATCCGTTTCTCCCTTTTCTCCGGCTGGCAACAAAGTGAAGAAATATCTATTCAATCCTCCCATCCTGGTACCGCCAACGCCTGGTCGACCTCTCCTGATGCTGTCTCTTATACACATCTAAAGGGCGTTTGACAAAGTGAAGAAATATCTATTCAATCCTCCTATCCTGTTACCGCCAACGTCTGGTCGACACTCTCATTACATTACAATCATTTTTTTTATGTCGAAAAGGTCTTTTGGGCAATGATCAATTTCTATCAAACTCGTTCGTACCTTTTGTCTTGGCATTCTCATCTTCCAAACATCTACATTTAGAGGTTCCATTTTGCGATCCTTGAGCAACCGTACTCCTCAAGTGGAGTATTTCACGCGTTAGCTGGGTCCGTGATCCGTGTAGACCAAGGGCGAATACTCATCGTTTACAGCATGGACTACCAGGATATCTAATCCCGTTCGGTTTTATATTTGACGAGTAGATATCCAAATAGCAAGCATTTAAAATTACACGTACTAAATTGGAATGAGTTTGGCGATGAATTTTCAAGTGCTTTCAAGTAAAAGCACTTTGCTTAAAAGCACTTGCAAAGAATCACTATTTAAGTGCTTTCCCCTAAAAACATTTCAAGTGTCTTTCAATATTTTACAATATTTTATATCGTTTTTATTATCCAATCAAATATATTTAAAATTGCCAATATGAGCTTGACAGTAAAGGTATCTTATTAATTCTATTGAAGTTAAAAGGTTCAAAATCCATACCGTGTCTACCTTTATTCTCTTAAAAAATAAATGCACCGTTGAGGTTTTGAAAGGTGTTTTTATTGGCCTGAAAAAATACTTTGAATTGATTTTTTCTAAATAATGCAGAAGTTAAGATTTCGAATAACTAAAGTCATTCTAAACCTTCCCACTTCAAAATGGATTCGAATACTTGCCAAATGATTAACACAATTTTTTGACAAAGGATTGAAATAGTTCTTTATACTAAGTTTAGGACTCAAAAATAATATTTGAAAATTTAGAGATTAAAACGAACTAAGTATAAGTTCGAGGAAACTCGTACCTTAGAGATCCATTAGTATAACCACAGTTGATTCGGTAGGACTTTCTAAGAGCCTGACTCGGAAGCAAGCCGTTGCCGTACGCTCCCCGTGGCATCGGCCGGAGTTCGAGCGAAGATATCAGAGGGCTGCCACCCTGAGGAATGGAGTGCAAACAGAAGGAGACAGTTTCCTTGTTAACTGACCATACAAACTCCTCAATCCAAGGGTCATGAGAATTGAGGTTCACAGTGGCAGTTATGGCTGTCCCAATAGAAACAGAGAAAGTTGGAGGCTTCCCAAGCTTGTCATAGTTTTTGTACACAAACTGAGCTCTGATGAGAACTGATGAGGAGCTGTTTTTCAGAGGAAGCTTGTAACATTTTCGCGCTCGGGGGTCGGGGAAGAATCGAACATGGTCGTTGGAGGAGGAGCTGCCTTTGCTGTTGTCGACCGTCGACGTGTTTCCAGCAACGATGTAGTCGGTGTCGGGAATCCATGAGATGTTGGAGGAGTCAATGAAGGTGGTAGTTCCTCCACAAGATAAGCTGAGGAAACCTGTTTGTTTGATTTTTTTCATTGACCATTGTGTTGTGTTTCTTATTTTAGAATTTGTAATTTCTAAGTATATTTAATATACGTACCAACTCACTCACAACTGGTTAAGATACTTATTTCCGACCAAAAGAGATAGTATGTTTGAATTTCCATCAATAGAAGTCACATCATCATTCAACATTCGTTGAAAGAAAAAAAACTAACCATATAACTATAACAGTGGTTCATGGGATCAATTAGAACCCTTTCTTCAGAGGTAATTTGACATTGTTCACCAGCTCAACTAATAAATATTAAATGGGATATTTAAAAAAAAAAAAAATATATATATATATATACACATACATACATATTAAATAGGAATGAATTA